TACCTCAGGCAGCCTTGGAGCTGCAGGCTCCTGCCCAGATGCAGCCTCCAGCCTCAGGGAAGAAGCACCCTTGCGTGCTCTCCCAGGTTTTTAGGGTGACACTCAAAACCCCTCTGGTTTCAGCTTTGCACCAGACATTTTCCGGAGTCGATTTCTGGTGTACCCAGACCCCATCACCGATTGCTGCTGAGACCTGTGCCTTTGTCCTGTGTTACAGAAGTGCTTGGTGGCCTGGTGAGATGTCCTCTCTTGCTGGGAAGCAAGCTTTAAACTGGGGGAACTGGGCAGCTGGCTTTCATTAAGAAGTCAAATCCCTGGTTTTTCACTGGTTTTGGTGTAACGTGAGGTCCCTTTGCACTTGCACGAGCTGCGCCATCGTGGGTCCGAGCCCTTCGTGCATCTCCCTGACCCACGTTGCTCCCCCTCCCTGGGTGTGACGGAGGCACAGAAGCCCCTTTGTGTGGCTGAAGTGCAAGTCTTAATGGAAGGGATGAGGAGAAAACAGCTTTTCTCCTTCTCATCCCTCCCTGCAGCTGAATGCAGAGAGGAGCACTAATGGTCTGTGCCACCGGAGCTGCTGGGGTTGCCGGACCCTGCACCGGTAGCTCCCAGCCACTCTGACACCGGGGAGAACCAGGGCTGAGGAACCCACACACCAGGCTGCTGGCCAGGAGACCCCAAGCTGCCAACAGGTTTATGTGAAAGCTTTGTCAGGCAGGATGCAGGTTCATACTGGGCTGACTGGAGGTAATCCAGTTTCCTTACTGGTTCACCCAGCAGGAGCAAAATTTGAGGCATGTTGTGTTGGGTTGTTCAGCTGGAAAATGGAGCATCCTGTGGATGCTCAGGCTCCTTCGCAAAGCCTGTGAGATGGGGAAGAGCCTCCTTAGAAGGGTGGATGGCCTTGGGACACAGCAGCTTGTGTGGCAAGATGCCCCTCTGCTGTGTGTCCCAGTGACCTTGGCACTTGGTCCCGAGTGCTGTCACTGCCCTGCGCCGTCACGGGGACAGCAATGTTGGGGACCCACCTGGCAGGCAGGAGGAGTCAGAGGAGCACCTCCGGAGAGGAGGATTCCTACCTCCTTGCTCAGACCCGTAAAATCTCACTCAACAGTGGAAAATCTGACCGTGGGTTTTCACTTTCGAGTCTCTGATGAACTGGTTGTGGTCTTGAGGAAGTGCGGTTTGTAGAGGTCATTGGAAAATGGCACTTGTTTTGCATGAACTTTAAAAAAAATTGTATGGGTTTTATTTTTCCCCATCTACGCACCATTTCTCAAAAAATACTTTTTTTCACCTATACTTAGAAAGACAATGCCAAATCTATTCTCATTAAAATCTCTTCTCATTAAAATCTCTTACCAGAACCAGTTGGGTTTTTTTTAAGAAAAACGATAAAATTTCAATCACAGCGGGAGGGGGAGAAAACCCATGGAAAGACTTGTTTTCACTAAAAAGCATGTTTTGACAGGAGTATTTCAGCCAGCGCTGATGTTTTGAGCGCATCTATCAGGCGCGTGTGCTTACAATTCATTATGATTTTGGCCACTCGAGAAGAAGCCGCATGTCCCATGTCACCTGCATCAAAGGGGAGCTCCTGCGGGGTGAAGATGCTCAGGGCGTCCGGCAGTGAGAAGGATGCTCTACTTTGCAAAACCCTCTGGAGTTTGAAGTTAAGCAGAGAAATATCTGTTCTTACCATCTCCATCCCAGAAGGAGGTGCCTGGGCATCCTCCATTGGCAGTCCCAGGTGTGCAGACCTGTGTGCAGGCACCCAGACACCCTCTCCTGTAATATCCTTAATTGTATTTACGGGAGCTCTCCCTCACCTGCTGAAACTGGCACCCAAAAGCACAGAGAACTAGTCCAGGTTGTTAATCCTGGGAGGACTAAGTAAAATACTTATCGGAGAAGCTGAGTATAAGTTCTCTGGCCTGCCAGAGAAATAATCCCGTGGAATCAGAGGTTCTCAATTATTCATGTTTTCCAGAATCACATTATTTCTTCCAGGGCCTGTTTTATAAATGCTGCTGCTATTTCTGATGGTAAATAACAATTTTGCATTATTTATGAACAGATTTTTACAACTGCTGATATTACAGCTGCTGCCAAAGCACTGGGAAAATTATTATTACTGTTTGTTGTTGTTTCTTTCTTACAACGCAACCCCCTCTTGTTCCGTGCGTGGTGATGATGTGCCCGTCGCGGTGTGACAGCCGAGTCCTCCCTGCAGTGCCCCGTGTGAAGAAGAGGGTGCAGATGCAAGTGGGTGACTGGAGCTGCCATCAAGCTTGTGGCTGGTGTTCAGAGCTGAGAAGAGCCGGGGATGGATGGGGACAGGTACCCCGGGTAGTGGTTAAATTCAAAGAGCTGGAAGGTCTGTTTGTCTCCTTGTGCTAGCCACGGAGCGGTCCATGGGACATACCTACTTTCTATCCCCTGTTAGTGCTCCAGGGGGAATCAAGGGTTGCAGCTGAATTTTGCAGATGCACATCTGGAGACCCACATTGCTGGGAAGCTGTAATTCAAGAACGGGCCAATTCCTGGGGCTGAGGAGCACGTTTCTGGGGCAGAAACCCATCCCTGCTGTGCATCACGTAGGCAGGGATGTGGCCTTACCTCTGCTGGGGTGGAGATGCTGATGCCCTTGATTGAGCAGACCATGGAGGGAATGGGCCAGCAGAGAGCTGGTGGGGGTCTAGGACAGCAATGGGAGGTCCGTGAGGTGTTTTGATGGAAAGAGCCCCAAGAGCTGCTGCCGGGACCTGCAGGGGAATCCCTGGGGGATTTTGCAGGACAGATGCCCTCTCCAGCCACCGCCATCTCAGCAGCACCAGGTGGTGGGGGTGAGCTCTGCTTTCTTTCTCTCCACACGGTGGGACCTCCTGCTCAGGGATGCCGGCTAAATTAGCAAGCAGGTTGCAGAGCATCTCCACCATCCAATGCAGGCCAGCTCGCTGCTGGCCTGAATTTTAAGTGCTAGAAGCAATAGGAGTTTGCTGGCACTGACAGAGCTCTGGCTAAAAGGGTTTGAAGATGAGCCCTGCCCTTGGTTTTCTTGCTGGTGGGTTTCTGGAGGTAGGAGTGAGCATGGTGCAACCTGCTTGTCCATCACGTGCTTGCAGATATCACCATGAGAAGCTGGTGGCAAAGTCCCAGTCTTGGGGTGATGGGCTAGCTATTTGGAAGAGCTCCTACACACCTAAGGTAGGATGTACTCCAGAGACTCTCTGCTGCTTCTGCTCATCATTTATTCCAGATGACACCCTACAGATAAAAACCCAAAGCCCTAACCAATCCTTCATATTTGAGTAATTCAATCCCTTGCAGATCCCTTTCTTTATTGTCCCCTCCAGCTTGGGGGAGAGATAGTGGACACTTTCTAAGAGGTGTCTGCTAGTGAGACACTTGGGTTTGTAAGTAAGTGTCTTCAGACAGAAGAAGCCATGGTACAGCTTCACCCCAGCACTGGAAGGAGTTTGGAGGAAAGAAATCTGCATGAAATTCTTTGGGGCAGGGAAGAGTGAGATTATCTGGCCGGTGCTTGGGAGAAAATGTGTGTCACAGTGTTATGTTGAAGAGTGGTTAGAACTTTCTGAATGGTTTGGGCATCATGGTTTCTGCTCTGTTTCACCCACCTCTGCTAACACTGTGTTTTGGGGAGTGTGGGGCTGTAGGAGATGGCCCATGGCCAGGCATCAGCTCTGTGGGTGACACGCAGGTGACTTTGAAAAGGCCACCAGCTGTAGTTTATCATGTGGCTCTTTCTGCTGCCTCTGTCTGTCGCCTGTCTCGGTCTCGTGCGCTTCGTGTCTCGCTGTTCCTGCAGAAGATGAAGCGGGGTGTCCGGAGCAGGAGCTGCATCACACCCCGAGACCCCAGCTGCTCCCAGGTGGCTGCCGTGCCGGGCGTGCTGGAGGAGCCTTCTTATCTCTCCTCCTGCATCCGTGGCCTCCAGCTGTGTCCTGCGAGCCGGCGGGGCTGGGAGCCGTGCGGGGATGCAGGGAGCTGGTGCTGGCAGCCAGGGACAGGATCAGAGGTTCACAGCTTGATGGAGAGGCATCTGCATGCCTTGCTTCCCTCCCCCCTCACAGCCTCAAAACCCAGACAGGGGTGCAGGGCTTTCCAGGCTCTAACAGAGCAGGTTCCAGAGCAAATTGTAATGCAGCTGGTCCCAGTGCTTGCATTGGCTGCCTTTGGTGTCGGAGGGATGAGGGAATTACTTTAGCACGCAGCATGGTGAATGGTATTCATTTTGGCAGCTGGCAGCGTGCTGCCATCCGGCTCCTTCCCTGCTTGCAGGGACGTGAAACACCCTCGGGTCCCAGCGCTGGGACCTGGGCAGCCACCAGCAACCCCCCTGCCCTTTTGTCCCTCGCAGAGCCCGAAACCAGGTCACTGGATAATGGATGCAGGCGCTGCATCCTTCAACTCCTGCTAAGCCAGGCGAAAAATCGCCCTGTTGTTCTCAGGGCACCCTCTCCCCCTGCCCTGCTGCGCCCAGGTGAGCTGCTCCCCACCTCCCCACGCTGCCATGTCCCATGTCCTCTCCACCGGGCATGCAGTCCTTCCCTAGGTCAGCCTGCTCAGCAACTCAATTACGTTCTGTAACTTCATTTCTCCCCACTCTGCAGCGACACAAGGGGGTTTATCAAGCACAGCTTGACAGCAGAGAGCGGCACAAGCGGAAAGACTGTGCAGAGACCTGGCCCATCTATTTATTTTTTCCCTCCCTAGCCTGGCTGGAGAACAGCATCTCTTAAAATACTCTGCAAACCAAGCCACTGAAAGGCAGATAGGCTCACAGCAAAGGAGGACCTAGGTACCATCATCCACCAGCCCATTGCTTGGGGCCACCAACCAGATGAGAGTCGGGATCTGTCTAACAAATGCCATGTTGCCATGGAGTCAAAGAGAGGACTGAATCCAATTATGTTGCTGTTGGAAAACAGAGTTAAATGTAAACAGCAGCAAGTTGTGTTTTCTCCTTCCTTCTGCAGATCTTCTCCATTGTGGTGTTTGGCTCCATCGTGAATGAGTGCTATGTGAACAAGGACAGCCAGAACCCCGAGCTGCTCTGCATCTTCAATGAGAATGAGAGTGCCTGCAGCTACGGCATCGCCATCGGCATCATTGCCTTCTTTGGCTGTATCTTCTTCTTTGTGGTGGACCTCTACTTCCAGCAGATCAGCAGCGTGAAGGATCGCAAACGGGTCGTCCTGCTGGACCTTGGCTTTTCAGGTACGTCTCTGGTTTTGCTGTGCTTCCGAAGGTCGATGCTGGCTCCATGGGCAGCGCAGGGTCGTTGCTGTGCCCTGCAGCTCCATGCTTGAGTCTTCCCCTCTCCTCCCACAGCATGGCTGGACTCGTGTGCCTCAGTCCAGGAGGGCAGGGCTGGCAGATGGGTTGTCCCATCCAGCTGTGAGCTCAGAGGCAGCAGTGAGGAAGCTGATGTGTGGCAGCCTGGGGACACTGGGGTGTCCCTCCTGCTCATCTGTGTCACTTCTGCAACTGGAAACATTCACTGAGCTGGGTTCAGTGAGGCCACCCAGAGAAGTGAGGCTTGGTGATTAGCATCTCAGAGACCAGACAGGGTGTTTTACCCTCCCACATCTCCTGTTTCTGGCTCAAGCAAATGTTGTTTCATCGGTTACATCTGGACCTGTTTTCACTTTGTGTGTGTATGTGTGTTTTGGAACAAAGCAGAAACACGCTTCTACACACTACTGTAATCCCCTGCTGCCTCCAGGGCTGTAGTGTACAGGTGGGTTGGGGCTCCCGGGGGCTGGCATGGCTCTTCTGCACTGTCTTGAGCCCCTTGGCCTGGGGCTCATCCGTGTGAACGTGAGGAGGGGGGATGCCTGGAGCCGGGAGAGGCCACCCTCCACATGGTTGCTGTGGGGGTTGCCTGGCTGAGTTTGTAGTTCATGTTCTCCATTTCCAGGCTCTTGTGTTAGCAAAGTGTGAAGGTGATTTATCCAGCACAAACGTCGCTGATGGCTCTCTGGTCCCAAATGAAAACATCTGTCATCACCTCCCTGCATTTGCCTGTTGTTAAAGATGTTTCTTGCTGGAAAGCTTATTTCCATGGTGCTAGAGCACCGGCGTCCAGCCCTCGTTAGATGATATTTACAGCCCCTCTGGTGGGGCTCAGTGCCTGCAACCCTTTGATTCAAATGGAAGGGGAACATCACATCCATCTTCTGGCTGATGCTGCGTGTCGCGGTGCAAGGCTGGGATCCTTCCTGCCTTCCACCTCGTAACAGCCATTCTCTCTGCTGCCAGGGGTGTGGATGGTACCGCTCTCAATCTCTGCCTCATTCCTCTTCTGTACTTGTCGTGCGTCGCCTGACATGGGCTTCAGCGGTGAGCTGGAGAGCATGGATTCTGCCCTGCAAAGCCTCTGCCATGCAGGGGTTGTGCTCTGTCCTGGGGACGGGCTGCAGCATTGCACCAGAGTTCTGTGCTATGAAATCCACCCAGCGCAGCTGTGCTGCCAGTGGTGACACTTCATGACCCCATTATCACCCTAGGTCAATGTGTGTGCTCCAGGTGCATCATGTCTTCAGCCTTTGTCTGGGCAGGGACATCCCCTCTGTGGGCTTCTTGGCAGAAAACAGGCAAGATACTTCCTTGCTGATAAAACAAATAAATCACTTGTTTGCAGGTCTTGTGGACGTGAGCCTGTGACCAACACAGTGCCACTCATTGGGGTCTGTAAAAAGCAGTCCATAGCTCCCCTGGCATTGCCTCTCTTCATGTTGCCTGGTGTGTCTCCCTGCCAGCAGCTCCTTACCTTTCTCACTCCTCTTGTACAATTCTGATTTCCCCACTTAATGAACCATTTCCCACAGGGCACCCCAACAAATGCTGTGCTGAAATCTGGCTTGATGCCATTATAAATGGGGGTGTTATCCGGGGCTCTTGTAACAAAGTCCATGGTTTCAGGTAAACACATCTCCACCCAGGTCTGCTTTTCACATCTCCTAAGCCAAAATTCGTTGAGATGCTGCTGACATACAGTTGCCTGCTGGGTCACAAGGGGATGTGCAGGTCCCTGGGGAGGAACTGGTCAGCCTGGTGCTTCTCCTCCCCGTCTGACCTCGCTTGGAGGAGCAGGTTAGACACTTGGCACCCGGAGGTCCCTTTCCACCCAAATCCTGCAGTGATTCAAGCAGTGGCATGAGCTGTCAGCTGCAGGAATGCTCGGTGTGCAAAGCACCCTTCTGCTGCACGGGCAAGCAATGGGTTCATTTCACTTGCACGTGTCAGGGTGGGTTCACGCCCGACATATTTTATCCCATTCCTGTTTCCGTGCCTGCACTTTTTGAAAATGATGGCTGCCCCAAACCTTTCTTAGAGCCCTACTGCCATAGCCTGTACACCCCCTCACACAGAAATGCCAGGCAGTTGGTTGCTCCCAGAATAATGCCAATACAGGCAGATCCCACAGCAGCGATGAAGTGCAGGGGTTTGTCGGCACGTGAAACCCTTCCAGTTGCAGAGATTGCAGCCCACCCTACCCCACCGTGGTGGTACCACAGCATACCAGCCTTGGGAATCAGACCTGCCAGGAGGCAGAGCTGACCCATGTAATTTGCCTTATTTAACTACCTCCATGTTAATAACCCCTGAAGACTTCCCCGGTGGGACTCTTTTATGCCATCCCCTTCTTTTTTTCCTCCCCTCCAAAGATGGGATTCTTGGTTTCCTCTTGCTTCCTTGTGACTGTTTCATCCTTTCTCTCTGTATGTGCTCTCTGCATTATTGCTTGTTTTGAGGTAAAAGCCAAAAATGCTGGGAACATCTGGGAAATAACCGGGTGAGGAAGATGCTCGGGTACGAGGGAGCATTGCAAACCAGGCGGTGAGAAAAGCAGGTCACTTCTGGCCCTTTGCCTGGGTCACCCAGGAGCCTGATGCCAGCTGCCAGCAAAGCAGATGTCAACTGGCAGTTGGTGTCTCGGGAGGCTGTGCAGGGAGTTAATGAAAGCGTTTACCCACAACTTGCTTTCGCTTGAAGGAGAAAGGACTTGTGCGTTGGATCAATGGCAGATCAGAGCCACTGAGCTGGCTGGGAGGTGGGGTGCAGGCAGGGGTGCAGGCAGGGAGGGGTGCAGGCAGGGAGGGATGCAGGCAGAGGTGCAGGCAGGGAGGGATGCAGGCAGGGAGGGATGCAGGCAGAGGTGCAGGCAGGGAGGGATGCAAGCAGGGATGCAGGCAGGGAGGGATGCAGGCAGGGGTGCAGGCAGGCAGGGGTGCAGGCAGGCAGGGGTGCAGGCAGGGAGGGATGCAGGCAGGGGTACAGGCAGGGAGGGATGCAGGCAGGGAGGGATGCAGGCAGACAGGGATGCAGGCAGGGCCACAGCGCTCTGCAAACGGCATTTGCGATTTTCTCTTCCATCTGCTCTTACAGCTGCCCTGTAGACATGCGCTTGCTCGGGACCAGGCTGTAATTATGGCTGTAACGCGTCTTTCCTGGTGTTTGCACTCTGTTGTCTGTAGATCCTAAAACGATAATTATCTACTGGCTCTTGCTGTGCTTCCTGGTGTTCTCCTTTTCCCCAGCGTCGGTGGGAGCAGAGCTGCTCCCGTGCCTGTTTCCACCTGGGAAACCTGGGACCGGCACGTGTGGCCTCACCACGCTACCGTCAGCCCAGCCCCCTTCGTGGGGTTTTAAAATTCCTGGGTAGGGACAGACACCTTCAAAACACCCTCTTGCCCCAGATGCTGCAGATGCCTTGGGGCTGGGTGCAGGCACTGCCAGCCCTTCCGTGGGACCGGGACCGTGCCAGACGAGGGCACAGCCGTGTTCCCGGTGAGGCACCGGCTGCGGGGGGAGTCAGCTGTAACCCCCCAGGTCTGATTCACGTTATCGGGTGCACAGTTCCGTCTGGAAGGAGTGCTAGCAGAAGGTGATCATGATCACAAATGAAAATGAGCCCTGGTACAGAAACAAAAATAGTTCCTGACAGACACCTCCAAAACACCCTCTTGCCCCAGATGCTGCAGATGCCTTGGGGCTGGGTGCAGGCACTGCCAGCCCTTCCGTGGGACCGGGACCGTGCCAGACGAGGGCACAGCCGTGTTCCCGGTGAGGCACCGGCTGCGGGGGGAGTCAGCTGTAACCCCCCAGGTCTGATTCACGTTATCGGGTGCACAGTTCCGTCTGGAAGGAGTGCTAGCAGAAGGTGATCATGATCACAAATGAAAATGAGCCCTGGTACAGAAACAAAAATAGTTCCCACATTGCTCCCCGGAAGGTCTGATCTCACACGCAGGCAGGTCTCAGTCCTCCAGGCTTTGAGCAACGCCTGGCTGGTGTTTCTGGAGATGTCTCCATGCCTGACCCTCTCTCCTCCACTGGCGGTGGTTATATACCTTCCTGCTTCCCCGGGGCACTGGAGGGAGTCCTCCTCCTTCTTAGGGATCCAGGCAGAGTTGGATGTGGAGGGGAAAAGCTTGCCTCTGCATCGTGAAACCTCTGGGAAGTCCACTTGGGTAGCAGCAGAAGTGACCCCAGCTAGAGGTTTCCGGCTGAAGCTGGTGGTTTTAGCACTGGAAAGGTCAGTGTCTTGCCTATCTCAGTGTTGCAGAGGAAGCCAGTAACTGCAATACCCAGCACAGCCAGCGCATGTTTGGAGATGTGCATGATGTCATTTTAACTCTTAGAAACCCTTGGAAGGCACCAGTGCTAGATGGGCTGTGGCACTGGTGGGTGGACGGTCCCCTTGTCCCAGCTGTGGCTCGTGATCTGTGGTATGTCCAGCCCAGGAGCGTATGAGGGAGGACCAGCACTAGATGGAGAGTTAAACAAAGAAACCATCCTCCCGAACCAGTTCACCATCTACAAACCAGTGACACGACCTAGTCCTGTTGGAGAGCCCCCGTCTTCCTTGGTGCCAGCACTGCATGGCCCCAGAGCTTGTCCCTGAGCGTCCCTCTGCTCCCCACAGCACGGCTCCACATTAACCTGTTGGGAGCTGCTCTTATGTTTCATCTCAGGTCTTTCAACTTCCAAACACGGCTGTCTCCAGGAAAATGTGGTTTTGAGTGAGAAGCTCCTGTCTGAGGCTTGCTGCTCGAGCATAGAAGGCCAGCATTCCCAGCTGCCGTGGGATTTGCTCCCCAAGGACCCGGAGGTGGGAGCGCTGCAGCAATGCAGCATCTGCAGATGTGGTTCAGCATCTCCTGCACCGAGACCTGGGGACCACTACCCACCACTCTTACCACATACTGCTGTATCTGGGGTGTGCATTTTCCTGTATCCACGTTCAGGGGCTGGATCTGCTTCCCCCAAGGCAGGCAGCTGCTGGTAAAGCCCCATTATAACAGAGCTGGGGAGCTGGAAAGCTTCTCCTGAGGGTGACCTTTGAGGAATAAGCCCCAGAGGTCTCTTTTAACACTGATGACAAGTGGGTCATCCTAAGGGGAAGTGAAAATATATATGCAGAGATTTGGGGCCGTTTTGGTGGCAGGCATTAGCTGTATTCAGCAAAAAGGGGCTGTTGTATTAGTCTGTAATTTGGGAAAGGAAAGCCTGGATGATCCTGGCTGGAGGTTGTGTTGCAGTGAGGGCACTTCAAGGGCTCAAGCACAGCCAGGCAGACAAAAGCATCCTCTGGTTGGGAAGTTCCAGGCCCCATCATGCAAGAGAGGGAGATCAAGGCGTGTGTTTTCTTAAACTGCATTTATTCTGAATTAAAGGCGAGGTGTGCGATGCGCCCTGTAACTCTCACAGGGGATGTGGATGCACTCGTGCCTTTTGTATCATACTTAGGAACAACTGGCAAGATAAAGGGGAATAAAGGAAGCTTCTTTCCTCTCCCTGCAGTCAGACTGTGCTTTGCAGCCGGCAGCCCCGTGGGACCGGCAGTGTGGCTGCTCACACTGATGTGCTAATCATCCCTGAGAAGATGCTGGGTAGCTCAGCGTCCCCTTGTGCGCTGACACCCAGAATGGGCGGGTGGGGGGAGCTTTGTGCTGGAGACCCTTAAAGCAGCATCATGGGAAGCTCCAGGTTGTGCAGCTCCTCTTCCCAGCGCTGGAAAGCATCACTGCTCCTTACACTGGGAGCTTATGGCTTACTTCTTGACGATTTTCTGAGCTCCTTGGCACCAGGCAGTGCTGCTGGCTGGTGATTGAATTAGGGGAGCTGAGCAGCCCTATCTTGCTCAGCCAGCTTTGGTTCCAGTAAGGAATAATCACCAGAGCGTTTTTGCTCAATCCCACAGAGCTCAGAGAGGCTGGAAGCAGGAGTGCACTCAGTGGAGGGTGGCAGGGATGAGCTGAGCTCTCTCACGTGAAGCCCCTTTGCCTCTGGGATCCGTGGGCAGCCCTGCTGGTCCCTGCCCTGGGCACGGCGCAGGAGGAGCTCGTTTGATGTGCTCCTGGGATGCACTGACATGCCCAGGTCACTCGTGTGTTCCCCATGTTCAGAGCAAGCATTAATCACAGCCTGTCCATATTCCTGGGTGACTGTTCCTTGCCCGTTCCCCCACTGTGTCCTTGGACCAAGGCATAGACCATGGCAGAACAGCTGTAAAGCCACCTCCTGCCTCAGCTGAGCAGCCTGGTGCTGCTCCCAGGAGCACAGGCTTCTTCCTGGGTGAGGTTTGCAGTATCCAGCCCAAAGTTTCTAAGAGCTGGTGGTGCCCAGGGAACAGAGGGAATGGTGGGTCAACACACTGTGGTGCTGGAACCAAGTTGGTAGCACCTCGATGCCTGCAAGCTGAAATCCCAGAGACTGCGAGGACCAAATGTCCAGAGAGGATGTGCTGGCCTCTGTAGGTCTTTGAGATCAGGGTGAGATGTAAGTGAGCTAGACTTCAGGCAGGCAACACCCTTCAAGGTTCCTTCCATTCCTGTTTTTTGGGCAATTTCAAATCAGCCTCTTTTAAAATAGCTCTGTATTTAAGCCAGACTATTCCTAGTAGTGTCCACCAACAGGACAAGAGACGATGGACAAAATTTAAAACCCATGTGATTCTATCTGAACACAAGAAAACAGTGGGTTTTTTTTACTGTGATGGAGGTCAAACACTGGGACAGGTTGCCCAGAGAGGTTCTGAAGTCTCCATTTGCAGAGATAATGGAAACACAACTGGACAGTGTTGGACAACCTGTGTTAGCTGACCCTGTTTGAACAGAGGCCTTGGACTAGATGACCTCGAGAGGTCCCTTCCAACCTAAACAATTCTGTGCAGATGCTATAAGAAGTTTAACACCACAGGCCAAGATCACTGTTGCTATTTGAAAATCTTGATGGCAGTGTGTTTGTGCATCAGCAAAAGGGGTTCCTTGCAGCAGAGGAGACGGTGGGCAGGGACAGCACTGACCAGCTCTGCTCTCTTTCAGGTTTCTTGTCCTTCCTGTGGTTTGTAGCCTTCTGCTTCCTAGCAAACCAGTGGCAACGGACGACGATGAGCAAAGGGGTTTCTCAAGGAGCAGATGCCGCCCGGGCAGCGATCACCTTCTCCTTCTTCTCCATCATTGTCTGGGTAAGTTCAGCTTTGGAGCTAAGGTGAGAAGAGGAGAAATGAAACCTGTCCTGGGCTCAGTGCTGGGCTGGGAGGAGGAATTGGGGGCACGGTTTGGAGAAGTGAATCCTGGTGGGCAGCAAGGGGCTGTACTGACGAAGCCTGTGGTCCCTTCAAATACAGATGAAACTTGTGGTTTCTTACCCAGGAAGCATTAGGTCTGGTCCCCTCTCGCTGGGGAATTCCAGACTTCCCCTTCTCCTGCCACTGGAAAGTTGCTTTCCCATCGAAAACGTGTTGCCAGCCACGAGCTGCCCTCATTTCAGCGCCTCATTGGGCCCTTGGGAGCAGATTGGTTGGAAGGGAACGAGTCCCCAGGAGCAGATCACTGCCGTGAGCCAGTCTCTTCGGATGGCAGGGGGATTTTGGGAGCTCTCAGGCTCATCAGCTCACCCTGGGGGGAAGCCAGGCTTGCTCTTCTGCTGCCCACCCCGGAGGCAGGGGCTTACAGAAACCCTCTTTACTCCTGCTTTTAGGCTCTGTGCATCCCTGGGGCTGCACAGGGGCAGAGGGATGGCTGCCAGGGGTTTGCAAAACCCCACAGGGCCCCTTGCCCACAGCTGCTGGACCCCACATGTACCTGGGGGTCCCTGCACTGCTCAGGAGGCCCCTACTCCGGAGGCTGCACGTGGAGGAGCAGGGATTGCCCCTGTGTCACCTCCACCCTCCCTCTGGCTTTTCACAGGCAGCCAGCACCCAAGATGTGCAGTAATTCCATATTGCCTTAAAAGAACTGGGGCAAAAGACAGACTGGGGGCTTTTCCAGCAGCAGGTCTGCCTCCAGTTTCCTCGCCAGTTTAACTGTTCCCTGCTCTATTATTATCCAAATAAATCTCTTTTAATCCCAGCTCCCTCACAGCTCTTCTCCATCGCTCTATTGCCCGACTGCCCCTTTAGCGCAGCCGCCAGGGAAGGGAGCTGGGTGGGATGCTCTGCCCCATACCATCCCTCCCCAGGGGAGGACAGTGGGGACACCAGTTCCCCACCACCAGCACGGAGGCTGGCCAGGCTGTGGGGTGCCACCGGCAGCCCCTCTGCTGGTACCATTAATACCAGATGCTCTGCTTGATGGGCACAGGACCAGCGTTGGGGAGCAAGCACTGGGCGCTGGTTGGGAAACCGTTCTTAGTGTCTGTGGGCATTTTTATTTTTTTTTTCTCCCCTGAGCCTGTCATTTATAAACTAATTGAATCGTTAATGAAACCTCCTCAAATAAGAGCGAGCGTGGTGTGCTCGCAGCTCTGCCACCTGCATTCCCCAGGGTTTGCGACCTGAATACTGGCAACCTGGAAAAGGGTGAAGGAGCCTCGGCAGAACTGACCTATTTTGCCAGCCCAGGACTTGGCAGCTTTCCCTCCCCGCAGCAGATGGGTTTATTGGTGCCATCGGTGCCAAATCTGCACGGCCAGAGACCCCAGCCCAGGCTGCAACCCCCACTCCAGACAGAGCTTTTTTGGGGGGTGGGTCACATGGAAACAGCATCTTCAGCATTAGGGGTTGTAGTTCGGGGTCGTTTTAGTTCTTGGCTGTGATGGAGTGGGGCCAGCAGCCGCTGGGGATGCTGCGATGCGCTGGGTGCTTTCCAGTGAGCTGGGGGATGTGGGATCCAGGGAGCACACGGGGTCCTGGGGGACACGGGGTCCTGGGCGCACATGGGGTCCTGGGGGCAGACGGGGTCCTGGGGGACACAGGGTCCTGGGCGCACACGGGGTCCTGGGTGCACACGGGGTCCTGGGGGACACGGGGTCCTGGGCGCACATGGGGTCCTGGGGGCACACGGGGTCCTGGGGGACATAGGGTCCTGGGGGGGGACATAGGGTCCTGGGGGGACACGGGGGTCCTGTCTTCCCCCCATTAACCCTCCTGTGTCCGGCGGCAGGTCGCGCTGGCGGTGAGGGCGCTGCAGAGATACCGCCTGGGGACGGACATGTCGCTCTTTGCCACCGACCAGTTCGCTGCCGACCCCAGCGCGGCGTACCCCGGCTACCCCACCGGCAGCGGCATCGAGAGCACAGAGACCTACCAGAGCCCCCCCTTCACCGAGACCTTAGAGGCCAACCCGAAAGGTTACCAAGTGCCAGCGTACTGAGGGGCGAGGGCCGCCTGTACCAAGAGACCGAGTCCTACGGTGCAGTACAATTAACCGGTTGATTGCAAATGTATTCAGTCCCATTTTCCTTAATGTGGCAAGTCAGTGCTGGGTTTCCTTACTATTAGCTAGTTGTGCAGTGAATTCTGTACAGTGGTATTGGTTCTTGTCTTACCTGTCCAAGGGTTTTATAAAAGCAGTGTTCCCTCTAAGTCGGAAGGAAGGAAGGTTGCTACCACATCACCTACAGGTGGGGAAAGATGAATAAATGCCCTCTCTGAGGCTCGACACCTGGCAATCGGTGGCTGAGTTCTGCTGAGCGCCTGGGAGAGCCCAGAATACCTTTTCCTGTTAGAAAACACAGTAGCTGAGGAGTTGTTGTTATTTATCTCGTTCTTCCAGAGCTAACACAGAATCCATCTGGTGGTGGCCAGGGTGGGTGGGCAGCATGGGGGAGGTCAGCCCTGTGCCCCTCCTGCTGCAGAGCTTTCCTGTTCACGTTCCACGGAAAGTGCCAAATTCACAAAGAAATAAGTGGCGTCTGTGTTACTTTTATTTGTATATATTTACTGTACAAAAGAAAAAAAAAAATCCAACCAGGTGTTCCAAACTTAGCTTAGGATGTGAGCGGCGTGGGGGGCGGGCACAGCGGGTTGGGGGTTATGTTAAATATCCAGATTGCTTCTATGCTTCGACAGGGTTCTGGTTGAGGATGTAAAAAAGTTCCTGTTGGAGACCGGAAACCAATTCAGCAATAGTTGGCTGCTAATTAGGAATAGCCTTTTTTTCAGCAGAAAATACGGCGTGTTGCAGTTCCACCTCTTCACCGAGGCAGTTGGGAAAGTTTGCAAATTTATAAGTAGTTTCTGGTTGGCAGCGCTGAGCACTAATTAGGAATAGCCTTTTTTTCAGCAGAAAATACGGCGCGTTGCAGTTCCACCTCTTCACCGGGGTTTGGGAAAGTTTGCAAATTTACAAGTAGTTTCTGGTTGGCAGCGCTGAGCACTTAACGCTCAAACTCAGAGCTGCCAACACAAAAAGGGGTGGGTGTCTCAGCGACTCAAAGTCCAAGTCAATTAGGAGTGGCGTTGAACTTGTATTTTTGTCCTGGGAGCAGCCACCATCTGCCATCAGCTGCAGCAGGACCTCAGGTGTGGAGGTGGGGTTCACCCCGCGGTCTCTAGGAATGAGAAATTCAGAGAATTGCAGAGACTTTAGAGGCCGTTGAAGTCCATCATGTGAGGGCTCACGGCCCCGTGTGTTTGCAAATAGTGGGAGAAAAGAGTGAATGAGAAACGCCTGGGAAAGAGGCTGAGTTTCGGTTTTCAGCGGCAAAATTCCTGCCTTCTCAAAAAGAACTCAAGGAGCAAAATCCAGTAGCTCCTTGTCAGCAGCCTGCCTGCTCTCCCCGCCTGCCTGCCTGCGTGGTGGCAGCCATCTCAGCTGTTTGTCACTAAGGACTGAGCAAAGGAGCTGAAACTTGAATTCCTGACCACCTCGGTGGCAGCTCCATCCTTGGAGGTCCCCGGCTCCTGGGGGGCTGGGGTTTCCCCTTGCCGCTTTATGCCGGCAAAAGCTGCCCTGCTGCCTTCTGACCTCGTGACAAGCAATAGTTCCTGGACTGCCCCAGCTCTCCTTGTAGCAAAACCATCCAGCAGGTTTGGGTTTTTTTGGCGGGGGGCTGGCGAGCCGGGGTTTCCCCTTGCCGCTTTACGCCGGCAAAAGCTGCCCTGCTGCCTTCTGACCTCGTGACAAGCAATAGTTCCTGGACTGCCCCAGCTCTCCTTGTAGCAAAACCATCCAGCAGGTTTGGGTTTTTTTGTTGTCATCATTAACACAGCTCATTTCTGCTGCTAAATTGCAAATAAATGCATGAATTAATAAGCAGCAAATCTCATCAGGAGCAGTCATTATCAGTGACAAAGTGCATTGCCTGTCTCCCCTATGGTTCAGGCCGGGTTAAAACGGGGATTTGCTGAGTTCCTCCCCCCTCTCCTGGCAGCACCGGAGCCCCTGGAGCTGCACGGGGGATTTTCCAGGCAGCGTTTCCCAACCTGGACACTTGTTGGTGCTTGGTGGCACCGAGACCTGCTGTCCCCACCACGGGCTTGGCCAACTGTGCCAGCAGAGGCGATGTCTTTGGACACTTCTGCACCTGCCTCGAGGTCCAAACACTGTTGGGGTACGTAGTGTCCAGCTGCCTGGCCCTGCTGCCCGCAGCGGAGGCAGGAGCACGAGCAGGAGGATGCTGCACTGCTTTATTGGAGGTGTCACCTGCTCAGCTAATGCAAGGAGCAAAGAAGAGGTGACCCAGGGACATCTGCCGGTGGCCCCTGCCGGCAGGGCTCGGTGAACAGTGAGACATCCTTGCATTAAGTAGACCAGGGACACCCAACCCCCAGTAGGGTATAAGCTGAAATTAATTATGTGACCCTTGCGATTTTTCTAGAGTCAGTCTTGCTGGGAAAAAAAGGCGAAGGATTTTTAACACAGGGTACGGTAGAACTGTAGCAATATTTTCCTTAGAGGGAACACTGAAATTTTAGCAGCACAAACAGTACTTGTGTTAATATTTTAGCGAAATTATAATCAATTTAAATGTTTAAATTGATTGTATGTGAGATAATGTTTGTTCAGTACATTGTATTTTTTCTAACTATATAACTGTTCCAGAGTTTCCTTGTAACCGTAACGACCTAAAGCTCTGTCTGACTGCGGGACGTGTCCTGACCCCTGGTGTAACCATGCTCAATATTACAACATCTGAATGTACGCACCGAGGCCTGCATTGCCTTTCTTTCCTCCCCCCCACTCCCACCCCCCCGGCGGTGGGATGCAGAAGGGGCACACACGCACACCCCACGCACGCCCTCACGCCGTCCCCACCTTAAGAGCAGCAACGGTGAAACGGGGACCACCTCAGCACCACTTCACCCCCACCCCGGCCGAGGCACCCTTGTTCTTCTCAAGGTCAGCAGCTTTTTACAGCTCCCCAAAAGTCAGTATTACCCTGTGTCTTGCCGTCGGCACGGTCAGCGTGCGAGGACCTGGCTGCGTTTTGCTGGGCAGGAGAGGAAGAGGAGGAGGAGGAGGAGAAGGAGGAAGGGGCTTGGGCACCTGAGAGGTTTCCTAGCAGCAAAAAGGCAGGACAGATTGCTCCTTGATTAAGCTGGAGCCAGGAATAACGTGTCCGGCCACACCAAGGAAGCTTAACCCTGCTCCCTCTGCCACCAAAGATGTCAGTCCCCATCAGTGGCACAGAGGACATCCCTGCCAGGGTGGCACAGCGAAGGATGGGATCCACAGGGCAGGCAGCACCTACGGGCAGGCAGCCCGCAATTGCCATATTTTTTTCCAGGCACTAGCAATGGGTTTATGTTCGGAGTCGCCGAGGCTGTGTCATTAAGCTGTAATTAACATGGTACCGCGCTGCCCCAGACACACACGCCTTGGACCGAGCATTTGCCCATCTTGAACTAAAACCATTTTCTGGTTCCTTGGCTGTCACCCAGTGCCCGTGTAGCCCCCCAGCCCTCGAGGCTGAATTCAGACATGTTGGGGGCAGGATGAGTGTCCCCCAGCCTGCCCAGCCGTGCTCCCCGCTGTAGGAAACCCCTCTTTTTGCCAGCCCCCCCAGATGCCAGCAGTGCCCTGCATCATTTGTAGCACAGCGGCGTGTCCCCAACTCGTCAGGCAGACTAAGTGTGTACAGGTGTGGGCTGTAGCTGAATATAACCCTACAGGCTTCTGGTTAGAGAATTAGATCCATGGCTGTGATAACTGTAGTGTATTCTTTGGGGTTCAAGTATTCGTAACATCATCCTTCGTACTTCTTTCCCCTGTGGTTTTTCCCTCCCTGCTCATTCACCCTGTGTACAGCAGCTTTCCTTGTAGCCCTCCAGACCAGGTCCCAAGAGCACGTCGGGACCGTGCTGTGACCCTGTCCCTCACCAGCCACTGCCCCCACTCTGTCCTCACAACCTCTCAGTATCTCCCCTCTCCTCCTCGAGAGCGCAGAAGCCCAGCAGAAGCCTGCTGCTCTCAGGCTGGCGTCCCAAAAGCTTCTGCACAGCGTTAGCACTGAATTTGGGTGTAAAGAAGAAGAGTCCAAACAACCCTGGAGCTTCCCTGGAGATGTGTTCTCCCACATCACCTCGCTCCGAGAGGTTCTGGTGTCACACCAGGTTCTTTCTCGGCACCCAAGTTAACCACATCACGGGTTTTGCATATTTATTTTAAGCATATTAAAAGATTTGAAAGAATTGGAAATTTTTTTTCCAACATTTTAAGCTATTCCTAGCGAAGTGGGAGTTTTGCTTAAATGCTAGTTATTAAAAAGATCTCCCCCCATTACATGCTTCTGTCTCTCAGGCAGCTTGAGCAGAGCCCTCCCGCTGCCCCCTCTACATGCACTTGGGGTTTCACTGGCTCTTCTGTGGGGACACAGTGGGATGAGCTTCCCAGCAGTTCATACTACAACAGCGAGTGACACCTACAGCATTTCTTTGCTACTTGTGTCAACCAGCAATTCTTCTGTCACCTCCCTCTCTCTCCACAACCACCCACCCCCAAATGGCATACGGCTGGCTCTTCGTTAAGGCCACTTAAAACGAAGCTAAGTGTGGTCATTGTGTATTTGTTATTAAATGACACCATTACGTCTGGTGGGGTGGGTGTTTCTCTGGATACAAGCTGCTGTACATATTTGCAGACTTTCCTCCAGCCCCCTCTGTGTTCCCGCAGCGCCCTGGGGGGAGCAGCTGGGTCTAGTTCCACTCTGGTTTATTCCCAATACTTTTCTAGGGAGCAGGTTGAGGCTGCAGGTGGCAGAAGCCCCTTTCCCAGCACCAGGGAGGCTCAAAACCCAGCCTTCGCTGTCTCAACTTGAAACCCGAGTTCAGCTGCCTGCGTTTTGTTGCAATACGCATTTAAAACCTCAGATTCTTTAAGAGTTTTAATATCAAACCGATACCAAATGTGGTTTGCGACTTTCAGTTTCTCTGCAGATACCTCTGTATAAGCAGACCGCTTCCAAGAGTTGCAGTTGTCACTAATCTTACGTGCATTGTAGTATAAAGTGGACTGTGTATGGAAATAAGTTTAAAATGTTTACAACTTTTGTATATATTATATATATAAAAATATCTTTTGAGAGAACAATCTGTGACTATGTATTTTCAGTGTCCGTGTACCAACTGCAACTTATTTTCAATAAAGAATTAAAAAAATGAATAGAAGCGGCCTGAAAAAAATTTGGTAATACTTTATTTAATCAGGTGAGCACAAGGAAACTGCATCATCAGGCTAAAGAGATCGATTGCCTGGAGGGAAAACTTACAGCAGCGCCCGCCCAGTGGGAAACCACAAATCTGCTAACGGCAGAAATTAACTGAAATCACGGGAAGACGTTAAGATGCTCCTGCAGAGAATGTGCATTTCATTTCCCTGGAACTTGACAAAGCAAAGGAAGAGAGAGGGAGGAAGAGCTGACACCGTAGATCCAGTGGTGGTGGTGTCATGGGTGCTACAACCCCACTCTGCTCCGGAGGAACCTGACTCGAAGCAGGAAGAGGGAAGCGTTACTACTCGTCACGTTATTTCATGCATTATTTTGTTTTTTTTTTTTTTAATATAAAAACAGCCATGCAGCCAAATAATCCTCCCCAGCCCCGCTGGCAGGGCCTGCAGCCTGGCCCCTGCGCTGAACACCACACCTTCAGGTATTCAAAACAAGTCTTAATTATTTGGAAAAGGAAACCAAAAGCACTTTGCAGCCTGACAGCAAGCAAAAAAAAAAAAAAACAACCAAAAATAAAAGGTATAAGGCAAGGAAAAAACTTTGTGTAGCCAGGACTAGCTCTGCAGCAGTACTCTGAGCTCGATTTCATAGAAATGATGCTTATATAAAAGCAGTGTTTTGTCACTAAAAATTACATAAATTAATTTCAACTTTATTCCTACATGTTAAAAATAACTAAACCTGGTCTGCCAGGATGGGAGAGAATCTGAGACTGAACTGCAGCCGTGGAAGTGCACGGCGGGGAGGTCTCTGGTCACTCTGTCACCTCACAGCTGCTGAACACATCCCCCTCGTGTCTCCAAGAGGTGGAATTTGGAGATGCCGAGCAACCATCGTAAGCAAAGCTACTCCAGACCGGTATCACCAAGGGAGGGACAGGATGGCAACGCTCCATCCAGTCTGAACAAATCATCCTTGTTAGTGCAGACCACTGTAAACAGATAAATGCACTTAAAGGCACTGCAGATAAACACGGTCAGTGATCAGCAGCATTTAATGTCCCAAGATGCTGTTGTCTGGAGCTACCACCATTAATACATCCAAGAAATTAGAAACATGGCAGTCATTAAATAAAATTACCGTGAAGGGTGCTTTACGGGAAGTAAAGCCTTAATGTTATTACTCTACATGCAGTGCTACAAAAGAAGTTTCTTTAAAGAACATATTACATAAAAAGGTCAGAGGCAACTTCAAATCTCACGGTCAACTAATCGCACAGATCAGTCCAATTCTTCAAGTAGTAGAATTAATTCCGTGTTCAGAGGGGAATTTTCTTTGCTCTATGAGCAGCCCCATGTTCACAGACACACACGGCCCCAACGGTCTTAACTCACCAGCGAGTAGCATCTTTGCTGCACCTTTGTACCCCTGACTACTGTGATCTCCACGGTCACAGAAATAGCACAAAAAAATAATAATAATAATCAGAATATTATAAGGGAAGCCATTTTTTGCTTCCTTTCATTTCAGTGATTCTTAATTTTCCCCCACCCCCCCCTCAAAAAAAAAAAGAAAGAAAAAACCCAAAGCAGATGCTTATTCCCCTATTGTGTCCCCTGTCAGTCTTCAGATCAGAAAGTATTTTCCCCAGCTATTGCATGTTACAGGAGAAAGGTGGCCCTCTGCCTGCCCACCCTGCCCTTTCAGCCTAATTCTACTCAGGCATTTTGGAAGCTCAGACTTTGGATGTTAATTAGCTACGGCGCAGTCCAGTGATCCCTTTGCACAGTATTTATGAACAGCACTGAGAGGGCTCTCTAAGAGTTACCTGACTACTCAGCTGGCACCGGCTCTCAGCCACACTACGCTGCCAAACCTCATCCCAAAAAGTGCATATTCATAGAGAGAGAGAGACTCTTTTATTGGCCTTCAGGAAAGCTAACTGATGATTCTGCTGATTGCTTGTAGGGAAGGGAACTCCTCGTCCTCGATATGCAAAGCTTTATGGGTGACAACGTCCTGCTGAGTCAGCACTTGCTTACACGTCGGGCAGATATAGCAGTCGAGATCAGAGTTGGAGTCCGTCTGCCAAACATTCTTTTTGTTCTTTTTGGATTTGTTTGAGCTTTGTTTTTCTTTGATTCTGAAATCATTGTGAGCAGAAAGCAGTTCTTGTTGCTTAACTGTGTCCGGCAACAACACCAACAACTCGTTAAAAATTTTCTTGAAGTTATCTCCAAGCAGTTCTCGGCAACTTTTGTAATACTGTGCTGCAGAAATCAGCCCCTTCAGTGAAAAGAGAATTGGAATAATTAGAAAAAAAAAAAAGTATTTTAAAAAAATCCCACTGGGATTCACCTTCTCCCAGGCCACATCATCCTCACTGCTTTCACTCCACCCTCACTGCTTTTTTGCTACCTTAGCACTAGAGAAGAGCAACAGTGTTGGCAGAGAGGGGGGCAAATAAATAAAATCTCTATTTAGTCCACTCACCAACAGCAAAGAGCGACAGAGGCAGGACATGAACTGAACAGAGAGGAAGGTTTTGGTTATCCCAAGGGTCGTGCCCACTCACCTGTCTGAATTGCCCAGAATGAGTTTTAAATTTATTGAACTTGGACTCATCGCTTTGAAGAAATTCTTTAATAGATTGTATCAGCTGAATGTTCCTTTGCTGAAAGTTTTCAGGTATCAAGTATGATCCGTGAGAGGGTTTTGGCCTGCGTTTGAAAAGACCAAAAGTGATTTTGACATCGCTTGTGTCATGCAAAGTTGCTGTGGGATATATATCATACGGTTATTCTCTCCTATAGGATGGATTCCTTTTCCCCACCCAACTCCACACGCAATTACAATAAGCAGCAAACATGTATCTTGACAGAACGTGTCCTGTGGGGTTCCAGCTTTACCTAGACAGATTATTTAAAATGCAACTTTAACTTAACCAGCTGTTTTGTAAGCTGGGTTCACTGAAAAGATGTGAGCAACAAAGACTGCACCATGAATAAAACCAAACAAATTAATACAGGTGACTGTATTAAACTTAGACAAGTTTTCCACTCCTCTTTTTTTGCACAAAGTAATTTCTCTTGCCCCAAAGGGCCCTGGCCAGAGGCCAGTTGAAAGATCAGAGCAACAAAAGCATTTACAGGTCACCAAGGAAAATGTGCTTCTGCACCTTGCTTCTGGGACTCAGAATCAATGGAAAGGTTAAGAAATACATTGAAGCTGCAGATTTCCAAATAAATCTAGAAAAGACAGAAGCCTGCAAAGGCCACAGGAATCATGAAGCATCTGGCCTCCGCGGTGGCAACTGTTTAAAATAATCCCTCAGAGTATTTCACGCGCTGCTTGAAGCCCATATGACATAACAGAGATGTTAATGTGTGAAGTAACTTGAACTCAAAGGACTTTTACTTACTCTTTCAAAGATGTAGTGACAGGTTCAGAGATATTGGTAGATGGAATAACAGCAAAACCTGGAGGGGGTTTACTAACAGGCACCGACAGTCCTGGAGGCGGAGGAGGACTCTTTAATAGCACCACAGTGTTAAAGCCTAAATGAAAGCAGAGAACGGGCAGGAAGTTAGAACATGGATCTGTGACACCCACATATCACTGTCTAAAATTAACACCAGTGGTGTGACGGACTCTCCAGAGGCACTAAGAAGTAAGAATCAGCAGTGCAGATATCACCACATTGGAAAACACCTAAAAATTAGAGGTGGAAATCTGTTGCCTTAGCAGTCAGGTCAAGAAGCACTTCAGAGTGGCTGATGTCACTCTACAGAGAAAGCACTTTTAATTTACTTTTTCAATAGAAAATAATCTTAAAAATAACCACCAACCCAACACTCAAACTCACAATAAAAAACACTTCTACATTATTAAAGTGAACAGAAATCACTCCAGAAGTGAGAACAGCATAGTACTTCTAGCAGACTCCACCCAGCACTAGCTGCAGAGCAGCACAGAACAGAACAGCTAGGCATCTCCTGACATGGTGTTACTTTGATTAAAACCACCATAAGTCATGTTTTTTGCTACGTTAGTCCAGTTTTACAAGATTATGGCACCACTAAAAGCAAGGGCATTAAACCTCTGCAAACACAGAACAAAAGTGACCAATCAAACCAACTGACAAGTACCAGCAGGCAGAGGTCAGAGCTAAAGAGAGACTCCCTTTGCCTGCAGCAGTTCCCAAACTAGATCTTAAAGCACAAAAGCAGAGATATGTGTCAGCCGTGACTCATCAGAAAAGCAGTGACAGGTAAAGACCAGCTGCTTGTCTGTGAGCCACCCCGGAGAGCAAACACCTGCAGCTGCACAGAGCAGAGTTCTCCAACGTTTCCACCGCTTCAACCGTGATTTACAAAGGACTTTCAAGCCTACCTGTGTCCCCCCAGACTGTCGTTTTAAACTTCAAAGGCTAACCTAGCACACGGTGGCTAAACTGCTCCTCACAGGAGAGCCAGAAAGAGCAGTTTCTACATCTCATCCACATGCCACGTTTCTCCAAGCTGCCTCCAAGCAGAGCTGGCCGTGTCCCATGGCACTTACCTGGTGGCGGGGGCATTCTAGCTGATCCTGAGCTCCCAAGGGCTGGGAAATCTTCCTGAGGTAAAGGGCATTTGTTAGTCACTGTGGGCTTTTTAAGGCCAGGGGGCTCTTTGGGTGTACTACAGATCCCTAATGATTTTTCCGAATGACCATTCATGACGGTTGTGGATCTGTCAGGGGCGTGAAGAGCAGAGGATGCATTTGATGTCCTCTCTGCTTCTGGCAGCTTTTCAGTAGATGACCTGGGCAACGACGTCTCCTGTGAGAGGTGGGGGGACGACGGTCTCTGCTTCTCAACCCCCATCTTCTTTTTCTTGCTCACTTTTGTAAAAGTTTGTGAGGTAGAAGCTGCCAGCAAGGACGACACGTCAAACATTGTTGGTGTGTTTCTGATCTCCTGGGTTGTCAACCCGCTACCACCATCTTCATCATC